TTCAGTGGAAGACAAGACGACCACACTCTACTTTTATTTCGCATTCGTCTGAACATCTAAACTCCGCTGAGGGGGAGTTTAACCGACAACCCATATCAGGCATGTTAAAACCTCTCAAAGCAAATAAATAAAAGGTTTGAGCTCATCTGGAGGTTTTCTGGACTTTTCAACTGCAGATGTGATGGGAAAGCATCTCAGGATCCTCCCAATGTTCCCTTTAAGTGTGAGCGGCACCACAGCTGATATGTGAAAAGGGAGGATTTTCCTCGGATGACCCGTTTTATCGTGAAAGAAGATGCGCAGAAGTCACGCTGACCCACAGCTAAACTCAGAAAGGAATGTTAGGAAATAAATAATGAAAAGTGTTTATCCTCACTTCGGTTTTCTAAATCAGAAGGAAACACAAAACGATGGTGAAACCGTTTCCTGTTACTGGTCTCAAACGGGGGTTTGTTTGTATAACAGAATAATCTGGTGAAATTCCACAACGCTACACTCATCGGGTAGTGAAAACGTGGGTTTTCAACAGAAACAAGGCTTTTGTAAATGAGTACGCTTTATTTTTGTAGCACATTTTCAGACAGAAATCCTTCCGGCCACAAACAGAAAAGACAACGATTAAAGAGGAAATACATAAAAAACATATTTTAAGAGTGGCGGCTCGAAGTGCAGAAAGAACTGTTTCTTAAATGAGATAAAAACAAATCATAATCCAGTATAATCTGAATTTTATTTTAAAAAACCACGTCTGTCACACGGGTCGCCCACTCCGGTCCTCGAGGGCCACCATCCTACAGCTGCTTCTTTGCTCCTGCACACCTGATTGAAATGAAGGAGTAATTAACAGAGTTAATCAGTGCAGTTGATCTGTTATCTGTTAAGGAGAGGATTAACCGTTCAGGTGTGGTAGAGCAGGAAACAGAAAACTAGCAGGATGGTAGCCCTCGAGAACCGGAGTTGGCGACACCTGGATCAATCTCAAGGTGTCGTAAAAAAGAGAGTTTCTAGTTTGGGGAAGTCAGAGCTTCATAATAATAATAATTATTATTATTATTATAACAGATTGAATTAATATAGCACTTTTCTAGGCATTCAAAGTGATTTCCATTATTCACATACTCACACAGCTGGTGATGGTAAGCTACCATGTAGCCACAGCCACCCTGGGACAATCTGACAGAGGCGAGGCTGCCACTTTGCGCCATCACCAGGCAAGTTGGGTGAAGTGTCTTGCCCAAGGACACAACAGCAGAGTACCCCCGGTGGGAGCTGAGTTTGGTCCCGCTATCCTCTGATAACACAGCGACCCGCTCTACCTAGAAGCCTAGGGTGTTTCTCAGTGTCAAGGCGCCTGGTCTTGCGAGGCCAGATGCCTTGCTTACGAGGACACGGTCCTTCCTTGGTCAAAGAAAACGGTTAAATGGAACAGACTTGCATCACATGACCGCGGCTTCCACGGTGGTCACGTAACGTCACGTGACACGGGAGATAACGTTATATTTTATACGTATTTGTTTCAATATAAATATATAACGAGCTCTTACTTTTTAAATTGTGTATATGTTTATTAAATTAAATATATAAGTGAGTTTACTACCCGCTAGCCACCGAAGCTGCAACTAACCAACCATAGATACCTTATTTAGAGGGCGACGGTGGCACGGGAGTTAAGTGCTTGCCCCGTAATCAGAAGGTTGCAGGTTCGAGCCCCGCTCAGTCTGTCGCTGCCGTTGTGTCCTTGGGCAAGACACTTAACCCACGTTGCCTGCTGGTGGTGGTCGGAGGGACCGGTGGCGCCAGTGCTCGGCAGCCTCGCCTCTGTCAGTGCGCCCCAGGGCAGCTGTGGCTACATTGTAGTTCATCCCCACCAGTGTGTGAATGGATGAATGACTGATTGTGTTGTAAAGCGCCTTGGGGGGTTCCAGGACTCTAGAAGGCGCTATATCAAATACACTCCATTTACCATTTATTTGGATCTAAAAAAACATTTTTAAATGAGCTGACTCACGTTTAAACTTGAAATTTGTCCCCAAAGTAGCTGCAGGCTTCTGATCCGCCGTCCTTTTGAAAATACTGCGGTGTATTCTGGGTAACTTTTGACCAAGGCTAGGCTACAAGACACCTCCCGTGTATCCTCGCTCAGCTAGCTAAACGGCTAACAAACAGAGAAAAGACGACTCGGTGGAACATGAACATTGGAACACGTCTGGGCGGCTCCCGATGACTTATCTCCTAGGCAACCGGGGCGGGGCCAAGACATCAAGGCAAGGTTCCTTGGCATTGAGAAACACCCCTAGTAGGGGTGGGCAATATAAACGATATAAGGTAGAAACGATATAAAATTGGGCAATGATAGAGTTTTTGGCTATATCGCAATACCGCGATATTGCGATAACACATGACGTCACTAAAGGTGCTTTTATAGGACACACCATGCCGGCATATCGGTGTAATATTACAGCAATGGTATGTCTATAAACTCGGCATGGCGTTGCGCGAATATTGCGGCATTCGTTCCACCTCGCTTGGTATTAATATTGCCACATCAGCCCCTCCTCTGATGGCTAAACACGTTGCAGCCCCGCTAATCCCATTGGAGCGATGGTGGGAGACACCCCCCCCACCCCCCCACCCCCCCGCAAAAGAGGGTGGTCGCGTTAGTCACCTGTACTGCGCGCCGAGTGCCGGCCGGAAGGAAAGCCAGCTGGACGGACGCGGAGGCCATGGAGCTTTTGGCCGTGCGAGCGGACAAACAGATTAGTCGCCTTTTTACGGGGACGGTGAGAGACAGCCAGCTGTTCGACACAGTGGTGAAAACACCGGCTGAGCGGGGCGTCAAGCGGGACAAAAAGCAGGTCACATCAAAGCTAAAGGTCCAGAAAAAGGAATTTCATCAGTCTGACATGTCTTCCGTCTGACGCTGAATGCGCGACCCTGTACGTCACATGCGGGGGGGCCGCCCAGCGACCTCCCTATATCTCGTCTTGGTTGGAGAGGTGCCTGATGGCAGTTTATTCCAGCTTCAGCTTTGCTACTATAAATGCCAAAACCCTCCCCAGGGTGCCGCGGCAAATCCCGTTTTAAAAAAGCTCTGGTCCTGTAAAAACAGCTTAAGATGTGCACCCTGCTGACAGTGACTGCAAGCATGGAGTGGGCGGAGGAGGAGGCCTGTATGCCTCAAGTGGCATATATTTGCCACATGAGGATATTTAAAAGCACGTCATTTTGACATATATAAACAGAGGGAAAAATATGTCGCAATATTTATTGTTACCGCACATGCTTCAGATTATATCGCAATATAGATTTGAGGCCCTATCGCCCAGCCCTAACCCCTAGACAGATTTTGCTCTGCATGTCGGTCTGACACACTCCAATGGAACCTCAGTTGCCCTGACCTGTGTTGTTTCTAGCCAATCAGAGCGCTTTATCCGTTTGGTAGGCGGGATGATGCAGACACAGCGAAACTACTAAGGCGGCGACGAGTCATTTCAAATGGCTTTGCCATCAACTTTGGAAGTTTTAGACTTGGGCTTTTTTGAGTCGGGAGCAGATAGAGGTTTCTGACTATGGGTCGTGACCAGACTATCCATCCACATAGGACGGCTTGCCAGGCTACGCTCGGGTGGTCCACAGCCAAGTGTGAGCCCATGGTTCTCATCTGGAAAATGGTGGTAAGGAGTGTCTTTGTGCCAAGAAGAGGAGTTTAAATAACCTGATTTTTTCCTGAGTGATGGTGCGACAGGCTGCTTCAACACAACTGATTTTAATCAGATGATTGACAGGCTTCTGCTGAGCTTGATGAGCTGCTGCACAGGTGAATTAAGTGTATCGGAGTAAGGAAACAAAACATTGGAAGCCTAAGTCGTGCCCATATACTTCGGGACCACGAGTCCCCAGATATAAACGTGACATGGATTTCACGTAAGATGTCCGCAAATCTTAAAGGCACATCTTGATGCCAAGAAAGCACTTATTTTTTAACGAGTGCAGAAGTTATTTTAGCTTTTGTGTGAAAAGACGTATCGGTCTACAAATGCGTCTCGCCATATTGACGTCATCGAACCAGACATGGAGAAGAAAACGGCTGTTAGTTTAGCGGGCTTTGAATCTTTTTTCCAAGACGACAGAAGGAGCATTGAACACAGCAGTGGCGTGTCCAGATCTTTTAAAATGGGGTGGCCCAAGTGACGCACAACTTTGTGCATGGGTGGCACCAATGGTTATGCTTTTCTTGTTTTACCTGCAAGCCTTTTGTGGACAATGAAAAGCCTATTTAAAGGTAAATTAGTGTGGTGGCACCTGGGGTGGCCAATCAGATTCCAAGGGTGGCATGTGCCACCCCAGGCCACTCCCTGGACACGCCCCTGGAACACAGAGACAGTCAAAGCAAAGACATCTGACCATGTGGTAAGTAAGTGAGATTCTGTGGTGACATCATACATGTTGTCTGACTTGTAGTCATATTATTTACGTGTTTTTATAAGCTAACGAGTCTCAAAGTCATGACAGACGTAGTCGAAACTCTCATAGTTTCTTTTCATTTTAAACTGAAGAACAACAGGTGGGACTCAGGGTGTACGGCAAAGCGGATTAGAAAACAGATTTTATTTAATTTCACTTGCATTTACTATTTTCTTTGTTCCGGGGACCCGTGAGCCTACAAGAAGGGGGCTCCCTAAGCCCACCCTCGGGGAAGGGAGTTGCCGACCCCTTATCTAGAGCATGTAGCTGAATTGCTGTGAATTTACACTCAACATTCGAAACACATAAAGACAATGTGGTCTTTGTAGATAATTTTCTTACAAAGGTCCCCTCTCTAACAGAGCCTGCCCTGCCCCCTCCCCCTAAGTCTAGATCCGCCACTGCCAGGTGGACTTTAGTTTATTGTGTTCATTCATGGGACATTTATTGTTTAGAAATTATGAACTAAGCCATAAACATGTGATGTATGGTTTAAAATAGAGTCTAGATCCTGGAACGAGGTGCTGGAGACCTGC